ATATATAAAACATATATCTATACACACACAGACATATAATATGTGTGGCTTGTTCTTGTATATAATATATATAATAATGTATATAATACATAATATATGTGTGTGTTGAAATGTGTGTGTGTGTGTGTGTGCTGTGTGTGGGTGTGTGTGTTGTGAGATGTGTGTTGTTGTGTGATGTGTAGTATACAGACATATATATGCGTGTGGAAAGGGAGAGGTGGGAGAGAGAGAGAGAGAGAAGAGAGAGAGAGAGAGAGAGAGAGAGAGAGAGAGAGACGAGAGAAGAGAGAGAGAGAGAGAGAGAGAGGAGACAATTGAAGAGCACAAAGTCTTCTCACTGAATAGACCTATATACACACATATTCATAGATATAGCAAGATATGCATGAAGATAAAGGCCAAATGTGGGAGGATATGGTTTGTTTATTCAAATATATTCGCATTTCTGTATATTCAATAATAAAATATCACACCCACTTCCATACATATCATACTACTCTCTCTCCATATACTACATACTACTACTCATCTCATACAATCTACTCATACAATCATCATCTCATACATACACATCTCTCTCATACATCTCTATCTCATACTACTACTCATACATACCCAATAACCACATACTACCTAATATACTACTCTCAACAAAACTATTAATATAGTATTAATAGTATCTACTATAAAATATAATATATTATATAATACCTATTACCATATATTATAAAAAAATAATAATAATAAAAATATAATAAATAAAATATAATACAAATATAATTAAATACAATAATAATTCAATATGATATATATAAATAGAATATATATGTAAGTATACCTATAATAAATAAATAAAATATAACAATACAATACCCATTGCATATAGAATAACTAGAATATACAAGCAGATACAAATCAGATACATATACATACACCATACCATAAATTGAAAATATTATATTATACACACAGCATATTCCAATATTCACAATATTCGTAATAACACTTCTAAATCATCAGCCATTCACATAATACTCCATACACGAAACCAACCAACATTAATATCACTACCTTACAATATAGATTAGAGCAATAATTATCACATTAAAGTCAATACAGAACCAATAATATAAACACGACAATCATTCACCGTCTTATCTCCCATCATCTCTAACAATCGCCACTCGTCCATCATAACAACAAACAGCTAAAAATACACAAACAACAAATACACAGAACACAAGAATATAAAGATGATAGAACATACTAATAATCATAACCAAGAAACAGAATAATCAACTAATCACATCAATACAGAAACCAACGACAGAAGAGCAATAGATACATAGAGATTAACGCTAACGTACAATAACATTACTAATAACAGAAACCATCGGAGATTGTTCTGTATTACCGATAATAAACCATTAGCTAGTTTAATATACCGTCGGCATTGTATTCCATCAGCAGTCGTTTGAGTAACAGTCACTTATCATTCTGTCTATCTATCGCTCTATCTGTCTTTGAGATAGATGTATGCCAGATTACCATAGCAGTGATTTGGGACAAGTCACTGCTATGGTCAGTCATAGCTTTACCACAGAGGGTTTCGTCCTTATTGTAGCTATGAGGACAAGCTATTGAAAATTTCTAGGGAAGTTGCTCGTCGCTACAAAGCCAGTCATGCTACTGTTACCTAAATAAGCAATTAAGTAGTTTTATTCCCATCTACAACTAACAGAAAAGGACTCGTTTAATTACCTGCGGCTACCAGAACAGTCAAACAGAGAATATTTGCCCAACTACTGCTACGAGGACAGTCAGTCAGGGAGGGTTATTCGAACTGATGTCATCTGAACAGCTGATTAGGTAAACAGCTGATTAGGTAAGTTTGTTCAAATTACTGCCACCAAAAACACAAATTATCGGTACCAAATGAGACCAATTTTACCCTAACCGCTTCTACAACTACCGCAACTTGAATACCCAATTAGATAAACTTTACAAAAATTATTACATTTAAAGATAATGATGATAATAATAACATTAGCAAATTAGATAAGTTTCCCCTCACTACTGCCAAAAAAACAGTCGAACAGGTCCATCCTAATTGCCATTGACATCGAGCTTGAGTGCAAGAGGGACATATTAACATATTACCCTCCGGATCCGTTTTGTTCATCCCGTTTCGTTGTGGTCGTTGTTCATGCTGTTGTTCTTTGTTTCTCTGTGTCAGTTATATCTTTTTTTGTATATTTAATCGGGATGTGATGCGTTGCGAACTTTAGCTGAGAATAAAGGATGGAAACGATGTGAATGATAATAGTTATTTGAGGTAGTTTATCGTTGGTGTCATCTTTGTAGATGGTTTCTTCACAGGGTGGCGTAATAGGCTATTTGAATACGATATTTTTTCTTTCTTTCTTTCTTTTACATCTGAACAAATTATGAATATATCTCCAAAATACGATGATGATTTTGATTTTTATAATTGCTTTTACCGAAACCTTCGATGTTCCCAATATCGCAATAACACCTGGCCTAAACATCGCTAAAGACCCAGAGCTCAAACGACCTCACAGCCCCTTTTATCGCACCATCAGCGTTCGCGTCCGCGTCGGAAAAAAAAAAAAAAACGACCCATTGTCCGCTCAGCCGACTTCAAAACCCTCTCGAATTCCTCAACCGAAGAGCAGAAAAAACACCACCAATTATTACCTACAGTTATCAGCTCCGTGTCACACCTGCGTTGCCCGCTTTGGCCCCAAGAACTAGGTCACAACCGGACAACAATAGTCATGCTGGTACGACCCGGGGGATGCTGGTCGGTTTCATCATGCTGACGTCACTCTCCCGGCGCGTCAGCAGTCCGCCACGATCGGTGACTTTGCGTAGACTAATAGTACGGTGCTCGCGTGTCCGATTTTATAGATTGGTGGAAGTGAAGGATTTATATATCTGTTTTTTTTATATAGTGTTGGGTGTGGTGTGGTGTTTGTGTTTTGTTTTTTTGGGGCGGAGGTTTGTGCTTGTGCGAGGACTGACTGTGATGTAAGTATTCTGTTACGTAAGGTAATGTTTTCCTATTTAGCTAGGTTTCTCTCTCTCTCTCTCTCTCTCTCTCTCTCTCTCTCTCTCTCTCTCTCTCTCTCTTCTCTCTCTCTCTCTCTCTCTCTCTCTCTTCTCTCCTCTCTCTCTATCTCTATCATCCTCTATCTCTCTCTCTCTCTCTTCCCTCTATCTCTCTCTCTCTCTCCCTCTCTCCTCTTCCTCTCTTTCCCCTCTCCTCTCTCTCTCTCTCTCTCTCTCTCTCTCTCTCTCTCTCTCTCTCCTCTCTCTCTCTCTCTCTCTCTCCTCTCTCTCTCTCTCTCTCTCTCACTGATGCTAATGTTTCATATTCAACGATGAAACTTATTAACTATTAAGTCTATTGTTAACTGGTTCTAGGTTAACTCATTGTCAACAGGATTAGGGCAAAAGTTACTGAAGAATTATGATGAAAATTTATGGGTCCTTTTGCCCAGAGCCAAAGGATCAGCTGATCAGGTTCTGGCCCGCGTTCGAATCTGTAACAAATGAACGGGTTGGGACAGAAAAAAAGATTTGTTTATTTCAAATGTAGTGGAATTAGATATTTTTAAAAAGGTTTTTGGGACGATGACAGAAGGTTCGGAATATTTGTTGCTGTTGATACAATACCGCTGGCGTTGTCAATTGAATAATTGATCCAATATTACTAATGCTAATACTGTAATGATAATAATAATGACAAGAAAATAATAATGATAATGGTAATTGTTGAGCCCATTTATAATGAAAGGCTAAAAGTAAAAAAAAAAAAAATCCCAAAAGTCGAAAAAAAAGGCAAAATCGAATTGATAATATCGGGAATAAGGTCTAATAAAATCAATAACGGGCGGCACAAGGTACGGAGTGTAATTGACTTTGTTCATTAGCAAACGGCTTCATGCTTGACGTCAATTTTCTAATTCGGTTATTATTACGAAAGCGAATGTCCTTCGGTCGTTTCGTTCGCGGGGGAAGGTCGGCCTTTCGTTTTTCGTTTTTTTTTTCTTTTCTTCTTTCTTTTTATTTTCTCCTCTTTATCTGTTTGTTAATCTATTAATTGCATTGACGTTATGTGAGTTTGCTATGGTGGTTCCGTTTTTGAGAGAGTAGCAGCAATATTTAAAATTCATGATACCGTTATATACTACATATTGAATATTTTCTCTACTCTCCTTTCTTTCTTTTTCTTTTTCTTAATAAGTTTTTCTTTTTCTTCTTTCTTTCTTTTCCTTTTTCTTGTTCTTATTTTTCTTTCTATTTTCTTTTTTCTTTTTTTCTTTCTCTCATTTCCTTTTTCTTTTTCTTTATTTCAAAACATTAATCCCCATCATAACATCAACCCTCATCTGCATGTGCGTTCCCCGACTACAAGACCATCCATCTAATTCCATCCTCCAATAACCAATCTAATTCCATTCCTCCACCATCTATTCCATTCCTCCCATCTAATTCCATTCCTCCCTCCACTCCCTCCACACAGAACCCTCCCGTGGCCATGCCCTCCGCGCCCGAGCTATGTCTGACGAAGGAGAGGACGACGAAGGACTACCAGAAGGTCAAGGAATCGGAGCCTCGAGCTTGAGAACACGTCGGAGACACGTCGGA